CAAGAGGCGATGGTTTTGATGGCAGACCGGGGACTTGGTGGTCAGGATTGCGAGGAAACGTCTGGGAGTGGTGCTCGTACGAATGCAGGCGAGCCGCACGTTCGGCTCTGCAGCAACTGCAAGAAGCCCGGCCATAACGTACGAACTTGTCAAGTAGGTTGCGAGACGCCTGAGGAAAGCGATTCCGAGTAGTTTCAATTGGTTTGAGGTGTTGTGGTTGAATTGACTTACAAGGTGACTGAAGTCTAAGAAAAAGTGCGCCACTCGTTATGCTGCGCCACTCGTTATGCAAGTACGTTATCCTATTCTATAAAACCTCATCTCTACATCTCTGTTCTAACTACATTCATAATTTCCTTCTCTTGCTCTAACCAAATATCGTTATTTTGATTTTTAATCTTTATTTTCTCTTCTAACGCTGACCTTCCTTTTCCATTCGAACCCTAACTTTATTTCTCGTTCCAACCCTAACCTTACTTTCTATTCTAACCCTAACCTTATTTCTCATTCTAACCCTAACCTTACTTTCTATTCTAACTCTAACCATGATTCTCCTTCTAACCCTAACCGTTATTTTCTATTCTAATCCTAACCATTATTTGCGTTCTAATCCTGATCATATTTCTTTATACCAATCCTAACCTTAACTATGCTAACTCAATCTTTATTTTCATTCTAATTTTAACCCTACGACTCTTTCTTAACGCTAACCTTGTTCTGGAATTCACTCTAATATTCCTCTTCTCTTCAACTGTAATACTATTTCCCTTTCTATCTTTATCCATACTATATATCCTGATCTTGATCGTATTCTTCACTTCTATCCCTAACCTTACCTCTTCTTCTCATTCTAAAAAATATCTATCTATCTCCTTTCTTATTGCCTCATTCAATCTAATTTAATATTCTTTTACTCCTCCTCCTCCTTACTTTCTATTTTCTCCCTATCTTGCCTTACTACTTGCAAATATCCTTCTACTATTTACTTCTTCTTCTATACCTATTTACTCTTCGTTTTTTACCTATTATGCCGCCTATTTACTACCTTTTCAATGCGTACTTAAACTTGCTAACTTCTGCTCTATCTGCTCCGTATGCTCTAACTGTTCACTCCTTCCTTGCTTTGCCCCGTTTCGCCCCATGCCCGTCGTCGCCCTTCGGCCAAACGATCACCGCTTCGCTCGCCTCGCCGTCCCGCCCGGCCCGCCCGCTCGCCTGCGCGTAATCCCGCAACCGCTCGACCCGCTCCACCTCTCCGCCGTACACAATGATCTTGCCGCTGCGATACCGTTCCAACCCCGCCTGTACAACCCGTCCCACCGCCCTATCCCCCTCATCCCTCCTCGACATGACCCGCACCCTATACCCGGGAACTATTTTATCTTTTCCTACTTACTCTCTATCTTTCTTCTATCATTCTATACTACTTGCTAATACCCTTCTACTATTCGCGCTCCTCTTCATTAACTACTTACTCTTCCTATACTACTTTTTACCTACTATCTACTTCTATCCGACTATATATAACTCCTTATATAATATTTACGTACTCCATCTATACTGAACGTACATTTCTTCCATATTCTTGCTAATTGAATCTATATTAAATCTACTTATTCATCTTCTTGCCGCCCGTTCGCTCCTGATTCGCCGTCTACTTGCACTTGCTAATCCTTCTTAACTCTTCTCTTACTGCCATTTTACGCCTACTTGTCTCCGTTCTCGCCGCCTATTCGCTACCTCTTCGCCGCCTACTACTCTTCCTTTCCTTTCCCCCCTCCTCCTCCTGCCGCCATCGCCATAACTGTACCACTACCCGGCACATCTCGTTGCTCTCGATACCTCCCCATCGCACCTTGCGCCCCATCCACCGGATCCGCCCGTCTATATCGTCCTCGTCGACGCCCGTCCCTTGCATCCGCATCCACTCGTACAACCGCTTCGACCCCGAAACGCCCCCGGCTCCCCATATCGATATCACCGTCCGCATCAACACCCCCCCGTACTGGCACGTCTGCCCTTCCACCCGCCGGAACCCACCCGCCGGCCCCATCGGCTCGAATCGCCGGCACATCGCCTGCGGTATCCCACAATCGAAACAACACGAATACGGCTCCCAACGGACCAACCGCTCGGCCTGCCCTACCATCCTCCGTATCTCGCCTGCGTCCTCCTCTTGACAACGATCTAATGTATGCCTGCGGCACACCTCCTCTGCCTCCCCGATCGCCCGGCACCACGTACAACCGACCGACCACTCTTGTAATACTGCCTGAAACTGCTCCACCTCTATACTCTCCTCCGCCTGTCGCATCCTCTCCGCCTGACCGCGCATCCGCCGCTGTACCCGGCCGCGATATATCTCTGCCTCTACCTCCACGTCGTTATCCCCGGTACCCTTGCCCGCTACCTCCCCTGCGCTTGCCACCTCCTCGCCCTCGATCTCCCCCGCTATCGCCTGTACTTCGTCTCCCTCCCCTGCCCTCGTCACCTCCTTACCCCCAATCCCCCCTGCCTTCGCCCGCTCCTCCTCCCCCTCCTCTTCTTCCTTATCTCTACCTCGTTGTTCTGCTTCCCTCTCCTCTATACACTCCTCCTCCCTACGCCCCTCCTCCTCACGCCCCTCCTCCTCACGCCCCTCC